AACTTTAGCTTTATTTTTGTAATAAGTGATCAAGCAAATGAATTCTAATCGACTTGATCTATTCAGGTACAGATGAGAACGGAAACAAGACAAAAAAAAAAAAAAACGCGAGAAAAAAGTGCAAACAACACTACGAGCCAAAAGAATGAAGAAAGCAGACTTGACACGATCACTGAAAATACGAATGTATCCCAATTCCTCTCAGAAGACCTTGCTTCGACAGTGGATGGGTTGTGCTAGATTAGTTTACAATATGGTAATGGACAATTACCGTTTGGGTCATAAAACTACAAGGCAATTTTTCTTTAGGATGCTCTTCCGGCTAAAGATTAAACATACAAAGGAATAGATTTTTATGGATAAGGTTCGATATGAAGTATTGGATCATGCTATCTCAGACGCTATACAAGAAGAGATGAGGTCATCGCAAGGCATAAGGAGAATCAACATCAACATCATATTCTTCATTTTATATCTAAGAAAAATGATCGTCATCCGTGCTCAATACTGATATCAATCGTGTTTTTCGCTTATGCCCTTGATGCCTTGATCTCACGTACCACCAGAGCATCAGCAAAAAAGCGTAACTCATTTAAGCGCGCTCAAGCACGCATGAGAAGACGTCATAAAAAAACTGCGTTGTGGTTGACTAAGACTTTTGACATCATCATGCTACCAAAATTTAATAGCATACAGACGAAAAAAAAAATTTAATAGTAAAACAGTTCGAAAGATGATGAGCTGGGCGCATGCTAGGTTTAGATATCTAAAGCGGAAGAATTTGGTAAAGTCGTAATAACATCCGTATCTGAAGCATATACGAGTAAAACATACAGTCGTTGCGGATATATTAGGAGGAATTTGGGTGGAAATAAAGTATTTGGGTGTGATGGGTGTGGACTCCAGATCAATAGAGATCTAAATGGCGCCCAGGGAATTTTTCTCCGGGCATTCTTGAAGTTTTGCGTTCTTTTATTGTCTACACCTACCATTTAACGCTAAAGGTGTACCTTCGACAACCGGGCATTGCTTGATGGAGCCTTAGTTATATAACATAATTATGCCAATTGATTTATTATAGTTGACTATTTTTAGCTATAATTGATCGATTCAATCGAAACAAATAACCTTCTATGCTTTTATACGAAGAATAATCTTGGTCGTCATTTTAGTTTTATCACTCCTTTAAACTACTATAGGGAAAATGAAAGATCATACTGCACACGAGCCATGAGATCGCAAATCCCTAATGTCCGCATGCTATTAAACAAATACTACTTGGTACCGGTTAAAGAAAGATCCGGCCCGTGCTGTCTTAAAACGGTTAAACTTTCGACGCCCATTGTCGGATAACAATAAACGTATGCTATTGTGTGGACAAAGACTTATTTGTGCTTTGTGTGGTACGAAATACATAGAAACAGCGTCTATTCACCATATCGGGGTGAATTTATCACGTGATACCGCACAATGACACATTCACGGAGTATAAACAGGTTTTATTTATAGTTGGGGGAGGAAAAAGCTCTTAAATACAGCCTCACTCAATTTAACAATGAATAGACAGATTTAATATTAATATGTAGTGCGATACAGGTAACCAAGTTAAACTTAATGCCCATCAAGATTGCCGTTAGAAATATGGACTATCATATTATATTAATATTACAACTTCCACTATCGACTGAAATTGAATACACAATAAAAGCGCATTTATCACAAAAAGAGAATTTCTGAACGCAAGCATAAGTGATCCCCAATTGTCACCCAATTACCAATAAATACACCCGTAAGCACACCTGCATTAAATTCGCCTAAACGAATTTTTTGTCACCAACCACTCACTCACTCATACGTATACACACCATTGACTTGGCCCACTCCAACATTCCCTTCACTTATATTCACCTATATTTAACTAACCCTCCCTCCCCGTTATTATTTTAATTATTTAATACCATCACCTGCCCCCAGGTTGTCTACTCGCCCATTTTACTCATCTGGAATTTATACCTTTATCTATAGATAGACATATACAATATATACATACCCATACGTATATCATAGACTATGGCGAATATAGACAATGGAGATCATGTAGATACAAATGGCATGGTTTCCAACAGTACTCCTGATATAGTGGTATCGTCGTCATCCTCACGGCGATCTGCATACATGGGAAACCCCCAAACACCAGCTCAATTCATACAACAGTTACAGGAACAGCTGAATGAAAAGATAAAACAAACACAACAAACCGCTGCGTTAGGTCAAGACTTACTACAGCAACAGGAAGCAATCACAAAAAGAATAAAGGAACTCGAACAAATCGAAGGAGATGTGACGCCCGAGTTAAAAAACAAATTAAACGAGCTAGAAGAAGCAGCAAAGGCTTTGGACGCTAGAACCCAAAATTTGGAAGGCGTTTCCACGGTAAGCAACCACATTCACTCTATTGCCCTGTCAAATAACCGGGAATTTACCCACTAGTTCAACTAGGGGACATTATCCAGCCGTAAAATAATTGTTAGAAATGGATTCGATAACGCAATGATCTGGCACAATAGACTTTTATTCGATACTCCTTTTTGCCATTACGAGATAGATTTTTAAGCCAAAGCATCATTTTTTGTCGATTTTGATAACATTATGTCATGTCGGATATGCTGATTTTATAACCGTTACTCTACTAGAACACAACAAACCTTGGTCACGCTCCCTTAAGATCCGCATCACCTGCCTTAGAAACTCCTGGCTTATCCCAGCAAGCGGCAAGCCCATCAAGAAACAGAAGACAGAGAAATACGAACCGAAATCATGATATGGAATTCGCTACCTCGATAGGACAAAGTTTATTAGGCGAAGTCAAAAAATTACAAGCTCTCCTTCAGGAGAAAGAAGATAGAATTAAGGAGTTAGAAAACGAAAAAGGAGATTTAGAACGAACTCTTGAAGCAATAAGTAGACAACTCAGAGCTAAAGAAGAGTCAGAAGGTAAATGTGATATTATGATTAATATGCCACTTTGGAACTTTGTGTTTCCATAGCCCTTTACCGAGACTCGAGTATGTCGATTATGTTAACAAGAACGTACTTTAATTTTATAGATGCGCTTAAGGCCGAAAACTATTCATTATACGGAGAAATACAGACATTAGAAGGTCAAGTCAAAGAATTGACTGATACCATTGACAAGTTGCAAAAAGATCTCAAGAAGGGAGAGAAGGCCCTTGCTAGCGCTACTGACTTAATAGAGCAATTAAAAGCCAAAGAGGCTAAACTAACTAATCAATTAGACGATTATAAGAAACGCCACGATGAAGCTATGAATAATAATCGTAAACTTAGAGCTGCCATGAAGCGAGAAATCGAGAATCTCGAGAGAGTAAACGAAGAACTAAGAAAGGAACTAGAAAAGTATAAAGTACCCAAGAAACCGTCAGCATCTGCTGCATCCGGAACTGAAGCAACCGATGCCCAGGTTTCCGGGCATACCGTAGAATTCGTAAAAGAGACCGTGGAGATAAGAGATACTACAATGGAGGCCCTTCAGAATGCTCAAAAGATGATAGCGCAAATGAAGGTATCTCTTCAAAAGGAAAAGAACGAGAAACTTGAGATTAAGGAACTTCTCCAGGCCAGAGAGGAGGAAATCGAGTCGTTACGCAATAATCTCGACTTTGGCCATGATCCAACAGGCCGTAACCGACGGGATAAAGCAGCTGAAGAGGACGATGTTCTTAGTGATGATGTAATGTCTCACGATGGTTATGATGATGAAAATATTAATAAGAATAATAGACCTTCGTCTGATATGTTCAGACGCGGTTCGCCTCTAGCAAGACGACCTGGAAGTAATCGCTCATTCCGGAAGAAGCCATTGCTCGAAGGGCAAGTGGACGAAGAAGACGAAGATATGCTCGCTACGGAACGTGATGAATTGATCACCGGCGAAGTAATTAAGCGTGATGCTGACGGAAACGTAATACCCCAGTCTACCGAATCGTACGAAGGATTGGACCCTAACGAAATAGAAGCAGAAAGAGCTGCTGCATTATCGCTTTTGACCAAGGGCAAGTCGCCAACCGAACAGCTCGTCAATTCTGAAGCGAGACACAATCGCCAATCGTCTGTTGGTAGTCTTGACTCGTCTGCTGAATCGTTTGCATCTGCCAAGGAATCAAACGCAGCGTCGGTATCTCGAAGAGAGTCGGCCATGTCTCTTCGAAATTCGGGCGTACCCAGAAGGGAATCTGCATTTGTTCAATCACGTGGTTCTAAGGCGGTTGGCTCTAAGAGAGATGTTGATGAAATTAAGACATACGCTGACGCCGAGACACAGACCGATCTGACGAAATTGGAGATTGGTACTCAGACTGCTGATTCTCTTGATAATCCGGTGTATGATGAGAACAGATTTACACTGGATCTTAGTTCAAAGACTAATGCTCGAGGAAAGAGTCCTATTAATTCAACTGATGTTCCTTCTCGTCCGCTGTTCGGTCCAACCGAAGAGACGTTAAGACGTGCTAATTCTGTGTTTCTTAGACCTAATTCTTCGCTCTCACGTAACAGTACGGTGAGTAAGGATAAAGATGGCAATTCAATTATTCTTAATGGAAAGACGGCTGATAGTGTACCACAATATAAATCGATACCACCAATTCAGAGCATTGCTGCACAGGGATCACGATCTGTTCCTGGAGTGGACGAGATCACTCCGAAAGCCGACGGCCGACCTATGTCTCCAGATCATAAACATTCACCTAGTTCAGTGTCCACTAGTAGTTCTGACTCTACAGCCACTGATCGATCTAGGCCACTCTCTGGGTCATCTGTAGCTGATTTGACACCAAGCTCGGATAACATGTTCCGTTCTGGCACAGATCCGACCGTTATCCAGTTCATAACACAGACGATGATTGGGGAATTTATGTACAAATATACTCGTCGTAAGTTTGGAACTCCAGCGAAAAGAAATCGGCGATTCTTCTGGGTACATCCATTCACAAAGATATTGTATTGGAGTGACAAAGATCCAGGCGGCCGTGATGGTGATTCTAAAGGTAAATAATAATGATATTTGCGGTTCTAATATGTGAGTATACTCATTGATTTCATATTTTCTCGCCCATTAGTACAAGTTCAAGCTGCCTATATCGCTGCAGTAAGACAAGAGAATGATTCTAATCCATTCCCACGCGATCTTTATGATAAGAGTATAATCGTAATGACTCGCGGTGGACGAGAGGTCAAGTTTACTGCGAAAGACAAAGAGCGTCACGACCTTTGGTACCAGGTTTGTTTATTTGGATTATCTTATATACTGGCATTCTGTTGATACCATCGGTCGCCATTATTTTATATTTCTGAATGTAGCCAGCTGACCATCCGTTTGATATTTTAGGCCCTTAATCATCTCGTCAATGATGCAGCAGACACAGGCATGAGATCTCGAGCAGGATCGGATGAATTGCATTTAGATAACGAGACTACTTCACCCAATGGCACGTTGCGATCGAATAATATGCCGAGAGTGATAACGAAGAAGTCTAGCTTTAGTCAGATTAAAGATTTCTTGCGTCGCGACAGACAATCGGGTACACAGCCTCCTCATCACCTATCACATGAAGCAGATCTTAATAAACAGCCACCTATGGGAGCAACAAGCAGAGACGTTCCAGTTCTTGATAATGACGATGAAGAAGATGATTTTGAGATAGAGAACGTGAGAGAATGCTGCGGAGGACGACACGATGTTGGAAGTCTTAAACCGATCAAGAAGAAGGGTCACCACCATCATCACCACCACCATCATTTTAACCAACGAGATATTGCGTCTCAACATTAGCTTACTCTTCTCAATAGAAGTTGTCTTGTAGTTTTGTTTTGTTTTCGCTTTTTTTTTGTGTCATGTGTATATATATACAAGTCTTTCAACTTTATTCTTTATTCTTATTGAGTGGTTTATCGTGGATGGAAAATAATAATCAATACGACAGACTCGGAATACGTCTATTGATATCGTCTATATATGTTTTAGATTATTTCTATTGAATTTTTGTCATAGCTTATCTATTATTCAGGTTAACTTTAACTGTTCTGATTTTCCTTTTTCTGAAGTTGATTTGATATGATGTACACTATAATCGATTAAATGAAAATAGTTAAATTACACCGAGATTTCCTTGTCGAATTCTTTGTTGTGCTTTTCCACTGATGGGTCGTGAGGGTTTGTTCGTTGAAATTTCAGAACGGTACACGAATGCTAAATGTAACCCAAATTAATGTTATAATTCGAGCCGAACGAACGAGAATTCAGAATGTTGTCATATTGGCGTTTGCACCAATTGGAGACTGTTGTGCAATACGTTCAATATGAAAAAAGCCAATGAAATATAACATAATTAATATGAGCTACAAACATTGACAAAAAAGTTTTTTTTTTAAACCACGTGATCGAAAAAATAGCAGTTGCTTTTATTTCCATTGCCATTTTCTTCCACTCGTTCACACTTCTTTGCTTCCAATAGGCGATAGAGGTTAACTTCTCTTAGCCTTTCTAGTTCTTCATTAGCGTCCTCATTACCTCTTTGATCCATCACGTATATTTGACACATTACATTCATATTCGGGGGATACAAGTATTAGGGGAACCAGTAGAATAACACCATAATATTCGCACCAATAACTTTAAAAAATTTTACCTGACGGATTCTATTCTATAAAATTTTGTTATAAATCACATGGTTGAGTAGATTGCTATTCAATCTCTATAATCCCTAAAAAGGGCTGCCAAAAGGGTGTGACTGTTGACCATACGTTGTGTAAAAAAGAACAATAATAACAGTATAGTAAAAATGGGTTTAAAAAAAGTCATTCTCTAGACCCCGACAAATTTCGTCAGGGTCAATATTTGATAGTGACGGTTCTAGTTTGCGATATTCGGCATCGCAACTTTGTTTTCTGGTTTGTGTAATTTTCTTTTTTCTTCCTTTCCTTTTCTATGAACTGAAGTTCCCGTTTTTTAATATTAAATTCAATAGTAGATAGCGAAATGTCAGTTAATTTATGATTTTCTTGTGCGTTGCGCACACCGTTATTAAAATAGTGTAATATAGTTTGACGACGTGTTTCTAGATTTGATGATGGTTTTTTTGCGATCTATAATATAAATAGTAAGATAAACGTCCAAATAGAGATCAAAACAAAAATAAGTCGGGGGAAAAGTTCGGTAAGAATAAGAAGAATAATAATAATAAGAAGAAAAGTCATGGATTCCGCACTCTTATTATTGATACGTGGTAAACGGTAAAGAAACCAAGAAGCCAATGAGGAAAAATAATCATCCAAGCAGTCCTGGAAAATTAGTTAAGCATTACACGCGGACCGTTTCAATATTATATTAATGTAAATAATTGATGCAAAGATTTGTTTGCTATAAAGTACATGTACATTATAGATATATCTATAAATAATAAACAATTTTTGAGAATAGCGATCATTCCCACTTTTTTCACGTCATATAATAACGAGGTTAGTTTCTTTCTTAACAGTTTGTGGCGTAGTTTATACCATAAACACGGCATAGTAGTATCAATAAATAGGCGAGCTGTAAGGAAATAGTAAGGGTATTTGTAAAAAATTTCCAAACCCAGACCACGCAAATGTTTCTGTCGTTCTGGAATAGGAAAGCGTTGGCATAAATTTTATCCCTTTACATCTTTCTATTTCAGGAAATGCGATAAAAAAAAATCATAATATCCATTTTCGTTTACATTCTAACATTGTGCGGCTATGTGATTCTTACGTAATGTCTAATTCCATAATCCCGGTATATACATAGGCAGACTCGAGACATATTTACCTTCGATAGGTCTGTCTCACGTGATATTTAGAGAACATCATTACTATTTCAATACACGTCACTCTCGATAAGATGAAGTCTTATTATCGAGAGTTCATTATAACAAATATTTGAGTCACATGAAACGTCATTATATCAAGAAATAATTTCTTTATTAACAAATTATTTAAATTACATATTTTGACTTTTTTTTTAGATATAAATATCTTTTTTGGACACCAGTAAGAGTAACCCGCTTGTTGCAGGTTTTTTATTAATCATACTTCTATCATTCATTTTTTCTTAATTGCCGTGTCGCAAACGGGTCAAAAAACTCGAAATCTTGATTTAATTTGGTTTGATTTAATTGGTTTAATTTAATATGGGATAAATTGATCACCAATTATTGGTAGAGAAAACATGTTAATTAATTTAGTACAATTGATAAAGTACAGATATGAGTTATTTATTGAAAGCAATGGATAAACAATAGCATATTAAAATTTTGCTATCAAACGAGGTATTAATCATGTTGATTGCTATGGTCATTGTTGCTCAGTGATCAAATATGTTGCCAATAACACTGTATATAGGCAAAACTAATGAAAGCATACAAAACAGAAATTAGTTATCAAGAAGAATGTCAATTAAGCGATATTAAAGAACAGCGAGACTTGCTCTTTCAATAACAGATCAATTAGTATGATGTCAAGTTTAGTCCCGTAAGGCGCTCCGAATGACTTTAAATCGAAAGTCCATCGGTGGTGTTGATCGAGTGTCTGCAAGAATATTCTTCAATTTCGTCAACTGTTTCAGCTTGGGATACCTATTAAATGAAAATTGTCATGTATTCACTACGTTTTCTTTCTAGAATATTAGTTGAGACCGAATTTGTTAAAGACAGTTAATAAAATTCTGTCCCTTTCATTGTTCTCTGAAATCGATATTTTCTTAATGTACAAATTTCTTCGAGTATATCCATTAGAGATGCTAATGGTCCGCTCAATCCTTCTTTAGAGTCTCTCGATCCCCAGTCATCTTAAGAGTGTGATTCAGATAAACGTCCACCCAGACTCTGAATTTACGTGTATTCATGAGGTTATCGCAATAAATTTGCAGGTAAAATAGAATAAGAAAAGTCTAAAAATAAAACAACTTTGGATATCTGTGTTTTGTGTATCGAAATGCCATAAATTTGATTACCTCAGACGAGCAATCCTTCGCTCGTGAATGAGAATGCGTTGTTTATGTTCTAAATTTTGACTAGAACGGTCTGCGAGAAAACGCCCAAACACTAATCCTTATCCTTTAGTTAACATAAAAATGTACTAAACGAGTACTTACAGCAGCTTTCTGAATTTCTCCTCTTTATAAGGCCAAAGTATAATTTTAATAATTAGCAATACTAGTTATTTATTTTATTCAGTATCCTATAGACTAAAGTAATCGATATTACAAGTCACCCGCGGTAGCATAAATTTAACACGTTCGGTTTTGATAAGTCGTTTTCTACTAAAACCAGAGCGTGTGAAATAAAGAACGGTTTAGAAATAACTACAATAACTTTCCAAAATAAAAGCATACGCATTATAAACATGTAAACAGAGTGCCCTAAACTGTAGACAAATAAAGTTTTAAATAATGGCTTGTTTGTTTGTTTTTTGTTTGTCTTCCAAATAAGAAACTCAAAGAAAAATTATATTCCAATTGTGGCCAAATGAAATTATTTCTGCAAAGGAAATACATTCTACGACTAGCATCACAATATTAACTATCTATTATAATCTAAAAAGCTGAATGAAAAAGGAGACAATTCAAAAAAGTTAGCAAGTGGTCGTCGTTACCGCACACGCAGTATTTCAATATTTGCGTTGTAATCCGAAACTGTCTACAAGAAATTTGGCGATTAAATTGACGGACAATGTCATGGAGGTATCTCATATGACAATTTCAAGACATTTGGCAAGATTGGGTTACAAAAACAATCTGCCCTAAAGACGCTTATGCTTACTGTTACTGATAAAGAAGCTCGAGTTAGTTGGGCAACCAGACATTTCAATGATGGAAAACTACATTATTTTCTGATGAAACTGCCTTTCAGTTATTCAGAAATACAATAACTCAATTGTATAAGGGTTAACTACCATACAGCAGATTCTAAAAATTGTGCTAAAATCTCTGCATGGGGAGGATTTAATATACACGTAAAAACTATTATATTTTTCTTTAGAAACATTATGAATGCGAAGTTTTTGCACAATCGTAATTCAATCGAAAATCTTTGGGCTATTGTCAAAAGAAATGTAGAATGCGTATGCCTAAAGTCTTTCAGAATTAGAGCGGATAGAATTCCGAATAGCGTTCTAATTAACTGATCGAATTATGAGAAGATGTGAGATATAATTTTATACCGATATTTATTTTGATATATTTTCGTTAAGTTTTATACAGTAGTTTTTTTTAGTAACAAGTAAATAAAGAATTTCAAAAGCTTTTGCCAATTTATTTAACCATTATTATTTGATAACAAGAATTAGAAAACTCATTTCAAACTTCAAGTCATTCATTAGTCGATGGATGAACCATAAACTTTTGCAAACTGCATATTTATTTATACTTTCTTTTTAACTACCGATTAATTGACGTCTAAAAATATATTAAATGTTTCAGACTCAGATTTCGGTAGAGCTGCGAAATGACCATTATCCTGAACTACTCTATCTCAGTACTGCAGAAATCACTTGATCAAATCGCTGTTCCCCTCTTTAATAGCGGTTGAGCCGTTCTTGAAGGGTTTCAAACTGTGCCAGCAGTTTGCTCTCCGGCTCCCAGCTCTAGACTACACTCTAAGTCTTCTACTCTATTAAAACTAACATAAATTTACTAATTATAAAATAACTAATTTAATAGAAATGTGTAAATAAAAGTCGCATGATTAGATTTTAAATCCATGTTACTATTACTACTTTCACACCCTCAGATGCCGTTTAATATTCTATTCAGCCCTCTTCCTGGTTTTGCCGCTTTTCTCTACCATCGCACTTTTTCTTCGATTGTTGCCACATCTTTTCAGTAAGAAAGGTTTAAATCGCATTGTAGTAACAGGTCGGAATACATATTAGATCGCTCGGTTCTTGAAGGAGAAGTTGTAGTCCTCTAGTGTTAGGATTGGCGTTGGCGAATACGTTGAGTAGACTTAGCGCGACGATTAGAATGTTGACGAAGTAATGAAGTATCACTATTTTTGTTATACAGTCAAAAGCAATCTGAGTTTAGAGCGAGTTGTGAGCGTTAATAATGGAGAAGTAGATTTGTGTGCGTTGTGTAGTTAATGTACCGCACGTTAGTGAGTATGGCCGGAATGTTTGCTCTTGTGCAAACTCTTTCGTCGGTTATGTGGTCGATAAACCGTGTTTTATTGACTGTTAAGAGTTAATCGTTTGAGGTCTTGTTTTCGTAAGTTATAGCAAACTGTCGTAATATGGTTGGCGGCAAAAGTTTGTTGCGTTGTATTAAGTGACGTTGTGTTTGCGCTTTTTGAGGAGGCGCAAATGGAGAGAAGCGTCTAGTTATATATGTATGAGTAGACGCGTGTTCGCGTGTTGGATTACTGTCCTATCATCTCCTAGACATTAGATGTAACACATAGTACAAATCACATGAAATCACGGGCGTGCATTTAGAGTGCAATGAATTTATGGAGTACACCTTTAGCGTTCAATCGTAGGTGTAGCTAATAAAAGGACGCAATGCATTTATAGAGGGTGTGCATTTAGACTGTATATAACTCTAAGAAAAATGTTTAAATTAAAAATTATTTATTTGTTATTATTACCTATCAATTCTATTATCAGCCGGCATTTTGAATTCGGTACGCACTTGTAATGCGATTTAATGGTGGGAATTTATCATTGCTAGTATTCACTAACGATAAAAAATTTTGCAATAGGTCTTGTTATCGGCAAGAAGGCTGTGCTATCCATTGGAAAAGACGCCAACGTGATCCTTGTGAGCAATGTGGTGGCCAACCGCCTCCGAGTATAAGTTATGTAATTTATACGTAGGAAATGTCATTCTAGAGCACATTATCAACAAAAAAAAAAACGGAGATGTTCTGAATCAGAGAACATACAGTGATGTTTGGCTTTTCGGATAGAAAATGATAGTCGATCCAAACTTTAGGAGATCGATAATGCGTTTGTTCATTTTATAATCAGTAAGGGCACCTGATGAGCTTATTATAAAATAACACGACCCACACTCGTTTTCGTCTTAGCAAAATTAAATCACAAAATCTTTCCAACATCAATCTTGCAACCTATAAAAAAAGCAAACAACAAATTATTCAAAAAATGCTTGACTTCACTAACGAATTAATTTTTGGGTTGTTGATCCGACTTGTCTTCGGTCCTTTACTCACGACTAATCAACTCTATGTTGTAACTCAAATGCTCAAAGCAACAATTCACGCAATCAAATTAAAATCCCAAACCAGACAACCACTCTGTAAGCAAAAGTTTTTTGTGTTTTTTTTTTTCATACTTATGGAAGGATTTTGAAATCTATCAAAAGACCTGAGCTGGACTCGGTTTTATTTAACAAAGTGGTTATAAAATTCCACAAATCGCGCGAAAGAAAAAGCATTATTGCTTTATTCTGAAAAACGATTAAAGCGCTTGAAAATTGGGTGATTACGAAACGAGAAGTGAAATTGAATATACTAATAATATTATCAATGATATGTAGCATGGATTTCACTAGAGCGACCAAAGTATAGGGGTACTCATCAATGGCTTTGGTCCAAGTATTTCCTCCTATGCAATCGCTCTAGTGAATATGCAAATATACTGTACGTTGTTTGTGAAAAGTAATAAAGACGACCTCAAAATTAAGTGTATCAATTTCCTGATTATGTTAATCTCTTGCAATTCATATTCAAAATTTAAATAAAAAACAAAACTTGCAAATTGTCCCAACTTAATGAAAACATGGTCTTCTTTCACACCATCATAGACTACAATCACAAGAATAACGCTTGTTGGTTGATGGAGATTGTTGTTTTGATCTCTGTTCAAGTAAATGAAGTTTTGATTTTTACATACGATGTCATCACGTGTGCGATTTGGTCCTGATATTAATATAGTCTCACTCTGCAGAATTCCCAATTTACCACGTGTCCAATTTATATTTCGTCACTTTCTTCGTTGCCAACGATGGACACCTGCTGGGAACAAGCGAAAGCTAGACTGCCTATTCTTTTCCCTAATGCGACGTTGCGTGGCCAGATCAGAGGTCGTCTTTTGGCGCTACGTTTGGAAGACAGGCTTGAATACCTTGAAGGAGAAGACGAAGAGGTGTATGAAACTCTCAAAACTTTAATACAAAGTGAAACAGGTAACGACTTTGTGACTCGGGCGTTGGGGACATAGAGTAGTGTGTACCTGGGGTAGAGTAATAGGGTAGGATTCCTCCATATTAAGTATCGTCACGTATCTTTTTCTATTCCTGTTCTCTTATTAAGAATCTGACGTACATCTTGTTATCCGTTGTTTAAGGAAAGTTCGACATCCTATTTGCGATGCTGACTGACTTGTGCTTACATAAATTTATTTCCTCTAGATTCAAATCTTATCGAATCTGTAGTCGCCGCAACTCTGAAACGTCAGCGAGACGAGGAACCCGTTGCCATGTCCTCTTTGTCCTCACTCAGAAAGAAGTTGAAGATTACGGCCTTGCAGATGCTTTGAGGGATGTCGGAGAACTGTTTAATGGTCTTCGTCTAATTGGTAGAAACCCAGGACTGTTTCAATGGGACGAAGACCATACAGAAAATCAACAGGCTGATGATTACACTGAGTATATCTGAGACAAATTTCTTGGATCTCGATATCTTCATGGTAACATCGTGGAGAATGTTCATATGGACAAGAATTACTTAAATACTTCACATCTTAATGGAGGATGCAATGTTAGGTGATGGGGGAGTTGATATTATTGCATTGTATGACAATGTTATATTTGTTATACAGTGTAAGAATCACTCCCGGTCAATTGGTAAGTAAATACTATGTTAATATCATAATGATAAATATCATAATAATGATTATCAATACTTTCTTAGGTCCCGATGTTCTTCGAGAGTTGGAGGGAGTTCTTGATGAAGTTTTGTCATCTACATCTGAAATCATATTAACAAATGAAACTGATATGATTTCAGATTTAGTTGACTATATGTCAACTATTTCTGAACTAAATATAGGGGAGGAAGAATATCGAAGGAGAATAGAGGATCTTAAACTTCGACTGCAAGAATATGAAAATATTTCAAACGAAGTTCAAGATCTTCAAATTAGTATTCAAGATCTTGTAGCTCAAAATCAAGAGCTTCATCAAGAAATTGAGGCTAGAGATCAAAGGCTTCAGTTTTTATTATATTTAGTTATTATTTTCAATTTTCTTTTATTTTTAAATAAATAAATAAACATTTAATTAAATTTAAACAATTACGATCTTTTCCCCGCCCGAGGAGATAGTCATTCCCAAAATAAGTATATGAGCGAGTCGATCGATCGAAAACACAACCACGAACGCTATGCTCTTGAAATTTTAACTGACGATAACTATAACATTTGTTTACAGGCTATTAAAAAATTATATCTTATTGTTATGTACGAATTCTAGTAATTTCAATTACAAACGTTGACGAACCATAATCGACGTATACATTGCTTACAGATCTTTGACTTGCTCTACTCTACAACTACGAATTAGAATGTTACGATCTTGAAATGTTAACTGGTGATGACTTTAACATTTGTTTACATGCTGTAAAAAAATCATTACGATTATTATGTACGAATGATCGACAAACGTTTTTCAATACGTTAAGTTGGTAATGGAAATATAATACACCAACCAAAAGTCATACAGGAAACATGCCGTAATGTCACTATGTTCCAATGTCGATGAGAATTCAACATTTTAATGTATAAAAACCATTATCAAAGATGTATAGAACAAAGATCGGTCTATAACATGGTAACAAACTTGAAGTGAAATTGAAAACGTATACTACAGTACTAATGCATCATATTGTTAGTAAGAAAGACGATGGGAGTGATTATAGTTAAATTGACTGTGGTAGCCAAAAGTCATGCTGTAATGTCACTGTGTTACAACGTCGATGAAGTTAAAATTCAACACCAAGGTGTACAGGTCTATTACTATAATATGGTAATAAACTTGAAATTAAATTGAAAACGTATACATCCTATTTTCAATAAGAAAGACGATTGGAGATATTACATTCAAATTGGTTATATATACCAAAAGTCGCACAGGAAACGTAACGTTTAAGCTTTAATTGAAATGAAGATTGATTCGCGTTTTCGAACAATCAAGCCAATCGTTAATGCAAACTCAAAATCGTACTTAATATTCCGTGTCAAATTTTTGCACACATATTGACAACAGTTATACTTAACATGTATATAAATTTTATAAGCATATGATTCTTGGTTGCCGATTTAGTGATTTTCGTGTCGGAAAATTCCGCGAAAAATTGATTTGATTTTTTACACTATAGCTTTGTTGAACGATTCAATATCTTATTGTATGCGATGGACGGTGTTTTTACTGAAATAATAATGTATTGTGCAATCCCCATATGCTCAATTTTATACAATTTCGCATCATTTGTTAGTTCGTGGCTTGTCTTTTTTTAACTAGTGTATACTACCGCGGGTAGCATTTTGGAGCATCGAAAAAGGTATCCTGATCGTTATAAACCGGTTTTGTCCATATTTTTTAACCCGCTATATTCTGCTATGGTGTTTTGTTCTGCAGATCACTTATCAATCACATGACATTTGCCCAATAAAATTCTCTGAAATCATAATGCCTTTATTTTGAAAATTATAAATTCCGGTCAAAATCATCGACTTAACGAAATGGTTACTGAAACCAACGTATTACTCGGGTAAGGAAATGGTCTAGCTGCCTCACCTTTTATCTACAGAGAGTAACCCACGGAATCAGAAAGGCAATTAATGAAAGAAAAATGAGAAGACTTGTACGGGAAAGACAATGAAAAGTGGATAAAAAGTTTAATATATAATTATAGTGAAGATAATAAACCTTAAGGTCAGGTAATGTGACTTAGATGAATAATATTTTTTACATAATATTTGCGTCGGATCACTGATTTATACATATAATTTGTGATCGATGACCCCGAAATCTGTTTCTTTCAACTTTCAGGTCATACTTTTTTATTCTTCATTCTTCGTCCTCTCTAGAACTAGATTATAGCAACTTGATTGTTAGTAATAAAGCTATTGTCGACGGACTATTATAAGTTGAAAATACAAACGACAATAATGATACATTGATGATAAGTCCTCGATAGAGAAATTATCAAACAATGAAGGTTGATTATACAATTTCATGCGATTTATTTTCAATCATAATGTTATCATCATAAGATTTATTTCTCGATAGAGAAATTATCAAACAAAGATGGTAGCACAAAGTAGATTTCATATGATATCTTCAGATTTATCTTCAGTTCCTTTTATTTCTTAAATTGTCCTTTTAGAATAGCTTTTCGTATTCTAATAAAAGTCAAGTTTATAAATCAATTTATTTCGTTCAATCCTGAGGTTTTAGGTTTATACTTATTGACCAGGTTAAAGTGGAAACCGCTTTCTGGGACCTAGTTCAGCGTTTCAGTTCTTGCTACTGAATCTGGTATAACATCGACCTCAAGATTATTGTTTATTTGAGGGCGCGCATAGTGTAGAAAACTTCCCGGTTGACTAGATTTCCCAACGGATCATAATAATAAGCGATTATTTTAACTCAAGGATAAATAAATAATAATCTACTGGAAAGCATATACGACGTCGCCTGCCTGTGAGTGTGAGTATAGAAAAACCGCATCAACGGTCACTAATACTAACTGTTTAGTAGATTTTACAGCATTAGTAGGAGTTAGTCGATAGCTCCGCCGGAAGACGCTAAATCCCAAGGGTGTTATCGCTCTCCCTAGTGTAGCATCACGACACTGTAGTTTCGTCAATAGTTAAGCCGGGAATAATCGCGTTTCATTGAACCCATACTTACCATTATGGTTCTGTTGTAGAATGACTTTGGCATTCAAGTTAATGGTAAGTGAAGTTCCAAACTTTATTTATGACATACAAACAACCTGCAACAATTCTGCTCAACTACATTTTACCTCAATAGCTACTACCATCTTGATTGTATTAAATCAAAAGTAGTGATTGTATGGTTATGGTGCAAAGTAGCTTGATCAGAATTTTTCCCAACAACCAAACAATAATGATGGCTATCGTGTGGAAAATTGCTCCAAGCAGCACTTGTCCCCTCCACACAAAAATCAATCACTGCCCAATTCTTCATCTTTAATTGACCATATCTTTTGTTAGGCTGAAATCTTTCAGAATGTTCTCTAAGTCTCTTTCCATCCCTAATACTAAGGAGTTCAAAAGCCCATTGAAACTGGCCATTCAGGTAAAAGTCAACTGCCCCTGTGAACAGATCCTGATTAGGGAATTTGAAAAGCATTCCCCATCCTTGGTGCTCATGCCACACAATGACATTAATATTTTCTTACCTTTCACACCAAAGTAGGTACCAACATCACAACTTAACCTTGCTGGCATAACCATCCATGCTCCATAATAGAATTCATTCTGATATATTCTCTCTATATAAGTCCCATCCACACTCTTAGAATAAGTTGATCTCAATAAACTTCCATCAAGTTTTTTTAGTACATTGAACACAAATTGTGATATCCCCTGCTGATTGATTTCAGGTGATAATAATGGTGCTGAATTGGGATAAATAAAAGTCCTGATATACTCTTTGCGATAGAATTGTTCCACAACTGGGCAACTGAAAGATAGAGATGACCCATTCTCATTGAACATTCCAATCTTTAAGAGAGAAGTTAATATAGCATTGTCAATGGCATCCAAAGCTATGTGGCCATTTCGAATAACTTCCTGGAGAATATTTTGTAAATTATTCAGGCTGACAAGTTCTTTCAAGTATGATACACTTGCAAAAGCTCAAGAATTTTCTAATTGCTTTGTAAGTCTTCCATCTGAAATAAATTGTGATGCTTCAGATTCAATGTCTCCCACCCAATCTTTAGAAGCTTTTGTAAGTTCTTTCAGTGGCAACCATTGCTACTAACTGAGTTAATGCTGTCTTTCCTGAAAACAGTGGTGCTGATATCAGAACTTTGCCCATCCTTGCAAGGTCAGTCAATATTTTCTCAGCCAAATTTCTTCGAAGAATGCATTTTACTTTTGGTAAACCTTCAGAGTCATCTGATCCAAAAAAAGGAAAATTCCCTGGAATACATGTATAATCAGACATATTTCTCCAAAGAACATTACAGGGTAGAATGAAATGGTCAGAGCACACTTTACATCAAGTGCTTACTACTACCCCTGGCTACTCTATGAACTCCTGTTATTCCTCTATTAACCTTGTCCTCTCCACTGCTCCTCTAATGAGTTTATGTATAAACCTAGCTCTGCTATAACTCTGCTCTGCCCCAACTAATAACGCCCAACTGCCTCTCTTGCAATATAGCACAAAACCAGTAACAATATTCAAACTCTTCTCCCTGTTGCTCCTCTATCCTCCCAATAAACGTGTGTTGCTTGTTCGCTTACCTTGTTGTTGTTCTTGATATGCTTTGATAATTTCGTCGTCTGTAGCGTTTCTATTCTTCCTTAAATATGGAACGGTGAACGAACTAGGAACGTTATCCAAGGTCAGCGGCATGTTGTCAACTTAGAGATTAGTAGAAGAGTCGCGATCTTACACTGCGCCGCCCAACTCAGCCCTGTTTATACGTTTTACTTACACAAACATGTGATACTTCTCCGTATTGAAGCGCCGAATCAACTGAATCCGTTGGGTCCAGCAACACTTAGCAAAATAGATCGAGAACCCTCCATGCTTTTTGTCAGAGACGAATGAAGACCAAGGGAAAAATCTCTTTTATACGTTTCTTTGCATATCACGTTATAGAACAATGTTTCGTATTATTGGCTCGGGTACATGTGTTACGCTTTTATCACCACCTAACTATGAAGTTCACATCTGTCTCTGTAAATATATAAACACTTTATAACACATATACATATACATATTAATATAACAACTAATAACATTTTATCATAATTAGTAATCATATCCAAATTTTCATCCCAGGCTTTATAGCCAAGCTCTTTATACCTCTATATGTATATGTTAAAACTAGCTTTAGCAGTTTATCTGTAGTTAGCATTAGGCAATAAAGTTCTAAATTATTTAAAAAAACCCCCCCAAAAAAAACCATGAAGTTCACAGGCGCAGTAAGCACATGACTATGACAAAATACCGGAACGAATAATCTCCGCTGATACATAATACATACTCGACACAGACATGTTCTAATTCGAATAATCATGTTCTCACACTTATCTTTAAAAATGTTATTAAGAAGAGCAAATATCTTGCCTTTTCAGTTCTTTTACGTAGAGTGTCGTTGGAGATTTTATCACCAATTTGTTTCGAACTTCCTCATTAACTAATGTTTTGGATGCTAATCGCTACGGTCTAGACTTTTATAATAATTTAAGCGCTGCGATAAAATATCCCAAAGCAGTAATAGCATAGAATAACTTCTTGGTTTGTGCTTTCGTTTCGGGTTTCTGCATGAGGAATATTATTATTGAGCTGTAAAAAGTCTGTCGTGTTTTTACTGTGTGCTTCAGAGATTTCGGAAGTCTCAGAAGTCTCGGTGGTCAATTCAGATATAAGTCTCTTTAATGAGGGGGAATCTTCCCTTTTAATTCGCTTCTTCGCTTTCTTACTGGATATATATCTTTGAGAGATCTTTTGTTAGACCCTAAGTTTGCACTTCTACTGTTTGAGCGACTATGTTTCAGATATGGGAGTATTCTCACTTCGCGAGTCATTCACATCCACCATATCCTCGTCCGGATTTCCTTGAGATACTATCGTGAGATGTTTTTCCATTCTACCAATTATTGACGACGTACTCAATCCGGAATCTTGCCTAGAAAATTCCTCAAGAATTTCAACGAGATTATTACAGTTAGGATAAGGACATGATTCTTTTCGCGAATTATCAAACAATGAAGGTGGAATTTAGTTGTATCAATCATATGATTTTTCAATGGCAGCGCAGGAAGTTTGTCACGCAATATGTCTTTAGTCTTTCTTTAAAGCATCAGCAGATTTAGATTTATCATAATGTATCATTATTGTCGTTTGTATTTTCAACTTATAATAGTCCGTCGACAATAGCTTTATTGATAATAATCAGGTTGCTATAATCTATTTCTAGAGAGGACGAAGAATGAAGAATAAAAGTATGACCTGAAAGTTGAAAGAAACAAAAGTTAATTAGATAGTGCTCATCCGCTATATGACAAAAACGGTAATGAGAATATTAATCCCTTTTGGTAGCACAAATCATATTTACCAATCAGACAAAATTTATTCCGTGAAATATTAAATCACTGTCTTTAAAAGGAGATTTTTACCAAATATGGTATCGAGCCATTGAGGGGAAGAGCCATCTGATGGCTTGAGGGTATTACCCCTTTTGGCTATGCATCGCCAAATTTGGATTGTAATTTCCAAATTCGATTGGCTCGATGAACGCTCTATATGTATAAATGACGCAAATGATTGTTTTGTGCTTGCAATTCCGCCTTTCTCTTCAACGTACGAAAGGCTTTAAAGTTCATTTATAAGTTGCTACGAAGAGCAACTAACCTATGGACAACGATCATACTTACTAAAGCCCACCTTTCTAGTAAAGACGGCAGTGAAAACAATTCATCGCCTGTTACCATTTCTTCCGTCATCAATCATAACAAATAGATATCGTGTAACGACTAAAATCATACGACTACCGAAAATCGTATGATAAAAATCATACGATTCTACAACCAATCACATTCTAAATTTTATAAAACTTTGGTATAAAAATCCTGTACGTTATTATAATTCCCAAAAGTTGCAGAAGATAACGAAGAATGATACATAGTCAAACTCGAGCCCTCCTAAGCTATTTCAGAGAAGCATTTTGCTTTCTTCTAATTTGACGTTTTCCTTCCAGAGCTTCTGCTTCATTGGTTTTATATTAAATATATTTTGAATGCAACTATATTTGATATTGGATTGCTTATTGTTTTTCTGCTTCTCGTACTTATTAGATACGTTGTATTGATTTCTCGATTATAGCATGTATAAATAGTTTGTGGCTGATAACAATCAACTATGCTAATCACGTGATAATAATTTTCGCACTGCTATACTAAACGCCAAGACATCGTTGTCCAATTAATGCCTCATCATTGAAAAGTTGGTGGGTTCTCTATAACCAATTGTCGTTCTATGTATTAAGGCAAACTTAGCCTATAATGACAACATGAATGGCCAACAGGAGTCTACACCATCTACCATGAGGTGCCCCCCCTCATCAACGACTGTCATGTGAAAGCCACGATACAAATCCGCTTCATCAGCAAGAATGAGGGCAAAGCTTGTAATTGGACAAATTAAAATGCTCAAACAGTTATCGATTGATCTCCTTGACTCCTATTTCTTTTTTCTTTTTTTTTCCCTGCGAGAAGCATCGAGGGAATGAATCGAATTGAATCGAATGATTTCTGCTTTTTCGGTTTTCCATATTTAGATGAAGGTTTGTCACATACATATAGCCACGACATCAGCTGATGTGAAGAAATTACTAGGTCAATGAAATCATAGTTATTAAGCGTTGAGGCGTAAGCTTGAGTAACTTCCAGTAAGTGCGCCAAACGTATGCGGGGTGCCGAAACATCAACTTAACTATTTATGTCAAACATTAACTTGCTTATCAAAATTGTCTTTTGATAGTCACACCATAAAACGCACATTGCTACTGATCACAGATAATATAAACATATATAAAGAGCTAAACTGAGATTCCCTGTTACCACCCCCTTCCCGCTTTTATTTCAAAAAATTTTTATTTCAAAAAGACTGTGCTAACGCTAAGGACGAAGACAGTGACATCAAACAGATAGATTTATACGTACTTAACTGCAATAGAAACAATCAAGTTCTACTTATCTCATCTTCTGTTATAATGGGCCGCGACGCACACCACCCACTTTTGTTCGAAATAGCATGGGAAGTGGTTAACAAAGGTACGTGAATGATTCATGGAAGCAGCTGTTATTCGTTAGAAAAACTATTTTGATACGTAGCAGCTAGAAAACAGCTATCATAAATACTTGCAAAAAGCAAAGTGTCAGAATTGGGAACATGTGTTTTTCCCTATCGTCAGCAAATAACACAAAGGCTACTGGAACAATCGTCTTTCTATAATAATCATTACACATGATTTATTGTCCCCCATGTCGCACAATATGTTGATCTCATTCTATCTACTTGAAAAATTCACCTTGCAGTTGGTGGAATTCACACAGTAATCAAGTCGAAAGCCCCGGTTACGGTCCACGAGTATGGAAGCAGATATTGTATGATCGGACCTCTCGTCATGAAACATGCTACTGCAGAGGTTGAACCCATGGTGCCGACTTTACCTCATTTGAAGGAAACGCTCGATACAATGGCCAAATATGGTGTAAAGTACATGTATGGACGATGGTTGATTGAAGGAGCGCCGAATGTCATTTTATTTGATACGCAATCGCGTCTTGAAAAGCTTGATGAATGGAAGGGTGATCTATGGAATGTAGCTCATATTCCTTCTCCGCCTAACGACTTTGAAACGAATGATGCTATTTTGTTCGGATATTTGATTTCTTGGTTCTTGAGCGAGGTAATTATTACCAGTCTCTCTATAACCAAATACGACTTTTCCAAGATACGCTAAAAGCTATTAGCAAGTGGCTTTATTTTGCCATGCAGTTTCATCACACTCATGCTAATGCTTGATATTCTTTTGTCACACATCCAGTTTACTAATCGTGAGAAGTCGAAAGCTGTCATTGCTCATTTCCACGAATGGCAGTCGTCTGTTGCCATCCCATTGATTCGCAAACGACACATCGATTGCACTACCATCTTCACCACTCATGCTACATTGCTTGGTCGTTATTTATGCGCTGGATCTACCGATTTTTACAATAACATTGCACACTTTGCTGTCGATGAAGAAGCAGGCAAACGTGGCATATACCACCGCTATTGTATAGAAAGAGCTGCTGCGCACTGTTCGGAAGTTTTCACTACTGTTAGTCATATTACAGCATATGAGGCAGAGCACTTATTAAAGCGCAAACCGGGTAAGAGGATTCTAACAATATATATGTGTCTGTGTGTGTTTGTATATGCGTTTTGCAAGCTCTATTTTTATACTTACAAACATCCCGTATCTTGTTCAGATGGTGTATTGCCAAATGGTCTAAACGTAGTAAAATTCTCTGCTATGCATGAATTCCAGAATATTCATGCACGTAGCAAAGAGAGGATACACAACTTTGTCAAAGGTCATTTCTACGGCCATTATGATTTTGATCTTGATAACACATTATATTTCTTTACGGCTGGTCGATACGAGTATAGAAACAAAGGTGTTGATATGTTCATCGAATCACTCGCAAGTAAGTATTACAAAATATATGAGTTAGAATATCACTGATACAGAGAACAGAAAACGCTCAATTGTCACTGTTGACTGATACTTCCCCTTCTTATAACAGGACTCAATCATCGGTTAAAGTCATGCAACTCGCCAGTAACGGTGGTTGCCTTTATTGTCATGCCTGCTGCTACACACTCGTATTCTGTAGAAGCACTTCAAGGTCAAGCTGTAACTAAACAATTACAAGACACTGTAAAAGAAATTACAGATCGGATTGGACAACGAATATTTGAAAAGGCGGCACGATACACGGGGTATGTAATGCAAACAACAATAAATGCTGAATGCACACCTGCATTATAGTTTCCTCTATAACATTCTAACTTTAACTGTTTTTTGTAGCGGTGAAATCAAGGCTGCTGTTATTGAATCCTCAGAATTGCTAACAAACGAAGACAAAGTTCTTCTAAAACGTCGTGTAATGGCCCTCAAACGCGATGGTCTTCCGCCAATCACAACACACAACATGGCAGATGACTCAAACGACCCAATACTGAAGCAAATACGCGCATCACATCTATTCAACAACCCATCAGATCGAGTAAAAGTCATCTTCCATCCTGAATTCTTGAGTTCGAACAATCCGCTTTTTGGTCTCGATTACGAAGAATTCGTCCGTGGCTGTCACTTGGGTGTGTTCCCCAGTTATTATGAACCATGGGGTTATACGCCTGCAGAGTGTACAGTAATGGGAGTTCCGTCAATCACAACTAATCTATCCGGGTTCGGATGCTTCATGGAAGATGTCATCGAAGCCAATCCAACAGACTATGGTATATACATAGTCGATCGCAGAATGAAGTCGATCGAGGAGTCGGTTCAACAATTGGCAGATTATATGCTACAGTTTTGTCAGAAAACTCGCCGACAACGCATTATTCAGCGCAATCGTACAGAGCGATTGTCTGATCTATTAGATTGGCAATTGATGGGTATGGAATATGTTCGGGCGCGCAAATTGGCCCTCCACAGATCATATCCTGATGCGTTCAGTGGAGACGTAGATTTTGAGCAGTACAAAGTCAAGTACCCTAAACCTTTGTCTGCTCCCGCATCACCTAGGATACGTGGCAATGGTGGGTATATTGCTGATGTTGATGAGGTGGGGGAAGAGTTATCTGGTTTAGGTCTTGGTGATAGGGATGAGGATGAGCGTTCGTACCCAATTATCAATCTTAGAAGAAGACCAAGTGACCCTGCTTCGTTGACTAAGGGTGATACAGTTATTATTAGTAATTATAATCAATTGTAGTTTATAGAGTTTTGATTATTTATTTTCGTTAATGCTCTACTTGTTCATTGGTATTCTTTGAGAGTGACAATCTCAGTCGGACTTTTGTTTCTTTCCATCTAGCAAACCCATTTGATGAATTCTATGAGTTTCAGGATCACTGATGATGGTGCGCCTCCTGGAGATAATAATTGGTGATAAGTAGATCTATCATTACAACACGATGTCGTCTGCCTTTGCAGTCTATTCCGGGGATGAATCGGCTCGCATAAAAAAAATAAATATTATCTAAAGTCAATTGACGTTGTAATTACTTGGCAGTCTTTCCGTAGCACAGCATATCTACTCTTTCTTCCTGTTTTACCGTTACATCTAATAAACGTCATGTCAATATCGGTTGAATTTATGCTGACAGCATCCATATACTGAATGTACCATACTCCACTTTGCAAGATCTGCACATATTCTCCACATGCTCTATGCCCTAACTGTTGGGATTTTCATTGCAAATCTTTTTAAGATATACTAATCCGAATGTCCGTAATGACACGACGGAAAATTCATGTACTAAAAGTTAGCTTCTGAAGGTTTGATTAGCGGTCCATGGTTTAATCGCCTGACATGGCATTCATATTATAATGATTGCTGTTACTTAAGTGAGTTGGAAACCAGAACAATGAACGCGTTTTCATTCACAATAAAAAATTACGATATCTGGCGATTCAGTTTTTTTTTACTGTCGGATAAAGTAAAACAAATAAAAAAGGCAAAGTCCGCTCGCTCGAGGAAGTCATATGTTAGAGTAAAAATTGGGTCCAGTGTAATTGGACTAACTTAATATGGTTGGTATATACAAAATTTTAACCAATAATACTGTCTATTACATAACCATGGCTTTGGCAGAAAGATCCTTATTATGCCACGAGCCCTCCACTTTACTTTCTTTAGCAACCTTTATCCAATTGGGCTTTGTTCAACGCGCCACAGTTGATAAGGTATGCAACAGTGACACGAGTATGAAAAAATCTGAAATTGCCGATATCCACTGTCAATCTATCTCCCTTTCCGTATCTCCCCTCTCGTTATCGCCTCGTTTTATCGATCTGCCTCAGTCAACTTTACACCTAGAGCGACTCCATACCATAAATTACGTCTTTACATATTCCTTTCTCTGACGAGCCTGCTCTCCAAATACAAACTTTTGGTAAATAGCGAATTCTTATTACGGTAAGTCGGATGTATCTTTTATTATTATTGTATACATGGAAAGAAAACGCAACGAGTGCAAGCTGTTTAGTGTTGCTTAGAACAGTGAAGTAACTGCACAGGTTAATACGAATCTCTATTCAAACTAACAATCCTGTCTCGGTTTATATACCCAAATCTGTGCTACAGAAAAATTTTTTAAAACAAAACTAGAATCAATACCTGCTTTATACGACTGCACTTGCGCTTCTCCTTCTTTCGACCCAGTCTTATTCAGCATACTGGACAATGAAAATTTTCACAACTTCACACATATTCCGCTATCCCTGGACACAAGTAAGCGCTGCAAATTGGCGCAAATACCCAAATGAGAACTGCCCTCACGTAATAGCAATAGACGTAATCGACCAACACGTCGATCCGGAGACAGGCATTCTACGGTTAGAAAGGTTGATAACGTGTAAGCAAAATGTCCCCTCGTTTATACGGCGTTTGTGTGGTGCAGCATCAGTTACATATGCAAGAGAAATCAGCGAAATAGACCCAAAGAATAAAGTATTAAAGATGACTAGTTGGAATTTGAGTTTGAAGCACTTGGTCAGTGTTGCTGAGACTGTTGTGTATTCGGAAGATCCCGAAGATTCATCAAGGTAAAATTTCAGGTTTATTGTATTGAAATCCGATGTATTCTACCAACATTCCAACCGCATACTCATTGTATCAAATTGTCTTATTCATATTTTATGATTATTCATTAGAACTTGCTTTACTCAAGAAGCAAGCATAAAGTGCGGTGAATCTCTCGAGCGCTTTGCAAATTACATAGAATCTTTTTGCGTCCAGCGATTCCACGACAATGCACAAAAGGGACGTCAAGGATTTGAAACGGTGTTAGAACGACTGAGGCAGAGCAGAGCAGCGATGCCTGCACAAGAAACGCATGACTAGTATCTCTGCACGATACAATCTCTGTATTTCTCGATTTCAATCCATTCTTTAATAAGTTTCTCTATTGAACTTTAATTAAAATGTCGACATTTTTGGTCTGCACACGATTTTTATAAACTGCTTCTGTCTATTAATAGATAATTAGATTAGAACAGACGTTGTAACGTTTGGATAGTTTGCACGTATACATTATCGAATTTTGAATGAGCAAACATCTCAATAATACGTATTGTGAAGAGATGTAGTAATTTTTGACTTTCATTTATAAGATAAAAAAATAGAGCGTTCTTCATTTTCAATAAATGTACATATGCATCCATCTACATGTATCGTCAGCTATTAGGAGGTGCATTGGCCTTGTTCATGTGGGAACTCTTTAGTTGTCCACAAGCGGCCAGTATATCTAGTGAATAGGAGTTAAAAAAAAGTGAGGAATTCCGAAAAAATAAACACGACAATCATTTGATGAAGGGCTGTTGGCTATAACATGAAAGCTTAATAGGGTCACATTACCTAAGCCTCGGGGAGTTCGAACTGTCGCGTGGATTCCGTTCTCTATAATAGTGTTGGCAAATTGTTCGATTGTCTCCTTATCGGGTGTTTCGTACCCACTCCCGGGCCACTCGTTGAACGGACTTGATAGGGAAAACCAATGGATATAGTGTACAATATGGCCGGTAATTAGAAATCAGTTTTCTTAGGATTAAACATATCACAGCACGTGTACTTACATGACGTTTACATGTGCCGAAATGTCTTTCAATAGACGTGCCAATTCCTGCGCATCGTCTAAGCTATCGTTAACCCCTTTTAACAGACAATATCTGTACCAAACGACAAGCGCGCAATTAGTCTATCGTCATAAGAACACAAAATTTTTTTTTCTTCTTTTTTCAGTAAGACGCATACTCGAATGTGATCCTTCTAGTTCGGTTATTCATTGATTTCGAATACTTTCTACATGTGTCCAACAACATGCTGATAGGAAACGTCTTGTTCAACGGAACAATCATGTCTCTCACATCATCGTTTACCGCATGTAGAGATATGGCAAGGGACACTCCCAACTCTTCTCCAACACGTTTAATCAACGGCACGACTCCTGCAGTTGATATTGTGACTTTATGTTTCGGCATTCCAATTCCTTGAGGATCCGTCAATATCTTCACAGCCTTACTAACATTCTTATAGTTGTACAGTGGTTCTCCTTGCCCCATAAACACAATATTGGAGACTCGTCGAGTCTTAAGATTTTCGATTGGAAATTCGTCAACAGCAGCAGCATTGATCATGTATTGACCGACAATCTCTTCAGCTAGGAGATGACGTGTAAGTTTCTGTGTGCCAGTACGACAGAAACGGCAGTTAAGACTGCAACCGATTTGGGAAGAGACGCAGAGTGTATGATGATTTTCGCCCATAGGAATTAAAACAGTTTCAATAACGGCCTTAGGATCACGGAAGCCAATTAGCATTTTACGTGCCCCATCCTTTGAGAAGTGATCTTGCTGTTGATAAGTTCGTACGGTTGAAAAAGTGACTGGATGTCAGTTGTAGTATGCGTACTGGCTTTGTTATAACATGTGATGGATCTTGATCTTAATAACATGAAAGTTAACCTTTCGTACGCCATAATCCATACAAAAATGTTCGTCAAGTTTTTCGCGTAAACTTTGCGAGAGGCTTGTCATTTCATAAAACGATCGAACTCCTACATTAACAAGCCAATTCATGGTCACATAGAGAGATCATATAAACGGCTCTGAATACTTCAATAGATTCTTGTCCGAACCCTTTCGGTAAATGAATTGGTATATCTGTAATCCAACAAACGACTTTATTCCTGGTACAACGGCTGATATTCTTTCCCGTATCTCATCCAGTGTAGCTCCAACAAAATTGGACTTGTTTCCATTGTCTTGTATTGATATTAATGATGTTGCAATAGATTCCCTTGTGTCTGGAGAATGTGATAGAAAAGTACCAAATCTGCGTAAAGGAAATTGAAGTCTATGCATTATAGGGAAAATGCGGAATCTTGAAAAAAAAATTTTTTTTGAGGGAGTTGATCACGCGCAATCGATTTTTGATGTAAACGCCACAACTAAATGATAGCAAATGGCTATATAAAAGTAATGTTGTCAATGCTTTCAAAAAGTAATCGCCCAACGTGGGGGTCGAACCCACAACCTTGAGATTAAGAGTCTCACGCTCTACCGATTGAGCTAGCCGGGCTTTCAATAGAAGGCTTTGCATCAAATTATTATTTAATAAAATTATAAATTCGGACAATTATGTTACTAACAATACGGCTACCTAACCAAAAAAAAAAAATTCTTGCAGAATATTATCAAAGCCAATTATATGATTAATATTAACACGTTTAATAGTACATCCGCCAGAAGTTGAACAAGTGTATCTACTATCTGTCTTATTAGAGATGTCCGGTAGAATATCATACAAAGTATAAATTAATTAATATTTCAAACTACTGTTAATGTCGAGAAATATTTGTATTCGTATTGGCCGCATCGACAATGCACGGTACAGAAACAATTCTCTGATTTTCATTCCAGATCAAAGCGGTCAGTTGACCGCCTTTGACACAGGCAGAGTCAATTCCAAAGGAATATCGTCTCAGCGTCAATCCTCTCGCTGCATCATGTCCATAGACGACAGTCTTTGGAGTTGGCGAATTTTCCTGGGCATCACTCCATATTATAGACCACGGTTGTCCGTACTTTTTGGATTTGGATGCAGATCCATCGTTTCGTATGTTGCGCTGTCATAATTGGAGAATTAAAATATCATGGATAAGTAAGCATTTCACGATTCAACAGTGCAATAGTAATACTAACCATATTCATAAGATCAAATGGTTTCTGTTGGTCCGGGGGTATATGTGGTAACAGGCCTGCATGTACAACATAAATCCCTAAATCTTTGATCTCGAGGATCAAAGGACATTGCTGCAAATAATGATAAGCACTCTCGTCCAATTTTCTACCAAAATAGCGACATAGCAGATTAAACATTGTCACTTTCAATATAAGCATTGTAATACCACTGTTATCGTTACCTTGCCAACATCTCATGCTCACTATTGGCCACGAGATCTTTAGGCAGCCATCCCCTTTGAATATGTTCACTCAGATCAAGTCCATCTTCTTCAAGAAGTCTCAGATATTGTTTCCATTTCAACACCTTGTCGTCATGGTTGCCCCTCACACAACTAGCACCGAGATCATGAACATGTCTCGCAACTTCGAGTGAATGAGGTCCCTTAGTTACCAAGTCGCCAACAAATATCAAGTGATCTCTTTCTTTATTATACTTTAGCTTATTGAGTAATTCCTCCAACTCATGCAGCATTCCATGTACGTCTCCTATAAATATCAGTCGCTTATTATGGTGTTCGGGCTGAAGAACAGATATTTGGGTATAATTTCCGAGAGCATTATATTCACGAGAATTTATAACCGGTTTGTAGTTGTAGGTAGCAGTAAGTGCAATGACTATAAGGGAAATTAAAGCAAACGTGAGTATTATTCGCTTCGTAGGAAAGTAGAATAACATCGTAATTTTACAGAATAGCCAGCCAAGAGAATTCGGCGGATTTATAGTAGATCTGTCACACCGATTTTCTCATTCGGTCGTTACCGTTAAAATTTCTGCATATTTTTAGACAATAAAGTTCTATATTATAAAAAAAATAAATTTTTTTCTGCATATTTGACATTAATACTATTTGAACAAAGAAACTTATCAGAGTCAAGTATATTTTATTTAGCTAACAATAGTAACAAATGCATATTCGATTTATCTATGCTGTTATGGTATGGTAATATTCGAGATGCTAAATACCAATAGATTTAACTTTAATATGCTGTCTGTCAAAAGTAGAGAATATAAACTAATAGCCTGTCTTCGCAAACTACGTAGAAAACAATAAGGCTTTCTGAATAAGATAATATAGTGATTCTAAGGAATGGGATTCATCGATCATTGAATAGTAATAGTATAATGCCCGATGTTACACAAGGCATGTGACTGTATAGAGGGATTTTATAAGTGTCACTGTGAATGTGATTCTATAGCAAAAGCGTGACATTAAGAAATGTGACTGTATGGAAGGTGACTATGGGACTGTAAATAAATAAATGCGCATGACTTGCAGATCGTAGCTGAGATTAATTTTTGTCACCAAAATCGTCCTATTTTCGACCCACAGCTATGCTTGCTACCCTAAAGAATCTTCGCTCTCTCACAGCTGGTACGAGAACCATTCATGCATTATGTTTAGGTGTGAAGATTTATTACAACTTGCTTATCAATCCACTGTCTAATCAGCACCAGCACGCACCATCAGAAAGGCTTCGCTTACGACTTCCGCTGACATAACGCCGTCTTCGGCAAGTAAATCTATTTCTGGGAAGGCACTCGCCCAAGAGGACTTTGCGCTTGCTAAGCCTGCTAACACAGCCGGTGGGTATTTGTTTGGTGCTTTATGCATGGAAAATGTTAAGTCGTGATTTGCTAATCGGTGTGTGTACTCAGAATATGTACTTGCAACCGTGGATCAAGTCGTTAATTGGAGTCGTCAAAGTTCCATTTGGCCGATGGCAAGTAATTGAGACGACGGTTATTGTTAAACTATTTCCTTATTTCTATTAACTCTTATCTACAATGTACCCTTAGACTTTTGGATTGGCCTGCTGTGCTGGTAATATTGACTCGACAACTAATTGACTCTATATCCGATTGTCTGACACACGCTCTCTCTATCCCTCTATGCTCATAAAGTTGAAATGATGCACATGGCTGCATCAAGATACGATCAGGATCGTCTTGGTGTAGTATTCAGAGCATCGCCACGACAGTCAGATGTTATGATTGTTGCAGGCACTCTTACAAACAAAATGGCCCCTCCCTTGAGGAAGGTTTATGATCAGGTATAGGAGGATAGAATGTCTAATGTCTTATTAATGACATGGCAGTAGTCTCATTAATCGCTAAATATGGAATTCGAAGATGCCAGAACCTCGTTGGGTGATTTCTATGGGATCTTGTGCTAATGGTGGTGGATATTATCACTACTCCTACAGTGTGGTGAGAGGGTGAGTCAAGTCCGACTAGTTTCAAGCAATTGATTAAAGAATGGTATTTATGTACAAATACTGAAGGATTCGTTTAATAATTTACTTAGTTGTGATCGAATCGTCCCTGTCGACATTTATGTTCCCGGATGTCCTCCCACAGCAGAAGCGCTGCTCTATGGAGTACTTCAATTGCAGAAGAAAATGAGGCGGTCAAGGGTATGTAGCCAATAACTATATTGCATTCTGATCCGTTCTGGATGTTGCCCTATGAGCAGAGAATCGTGCAGCTTTTCGGTTGATCAAGACGTGGTTGTTCAAAATTGTAATATCCATGGAATTTTGACAATTTCGCCAGAAAACTGCACGACCAGAATAGGTCAATGCCCAGAATGACCATATATTGTGTAGTTAAATATTGATGAGCATGTTTATGCCATCGTTCGAATGTATTTGCTGCAAACTTCCGATACCCTCATACGTCCTTCGCCAATGCTTACGCGATAATGATTAATCTTTTCGTAGACTACTCAATTATGGTACCGTAAATAATGAATGGTTAGGGTGCGAACAAGACCGAGTCGAATTCGTGGAGATTGGATCGGAGTCAGTATCTATGAAGAGATAGAGTATCGTATCTACACAGTAATATTTATCAGATTTTCTCCACGGCTTGGATGAGTATGACGTCTTCTGTTGAACTATTAAACCCGTATCAGATGAGTGCCTTCTTGTGAGTGATACAATAATATCTCTGCGATGTAATAAGATAACCTGAAACACTCGCAACTAAGTTCTAGTTGTCTGTTGCTCGTTCTGAGAGTTCGGCAAAGGAATAAAATACTCGAAGATGTCTGAGGCCAGCGATCTGTTTTATGAATAGTGTAGTGCGAGCATGTCCGACCAATGTCAAGTTGACTGCATACATTCATCGTATAGTTGTAAAACAAAGCATCATAGGGAATGTTTTCGTTAGAAAGGGTGATGAGATCAAAACTTATGTAGTTATGACCAAATCATTCTTTTTCATAGAAGAAGTGCAGCTAGTATATGCTTCAAAGTGAAAATGACCAAGATATTAACTCGTATATCTTCTAAATGCGTCAAAAACGTTTATTGAACTTTTTCCACCGCTTGGATGAGTGTGATGTTGTCCCCTTTCAACAATATTCGACCTATTAAAGTGTAATAATGAGCATGTTATTGAGAAGAAGGAAAAACAATAGCATTCGTTATTTTATATATTTGTATATCTGGAACCTAAACCCTTCCGCGTGCTCTTCTTGCTGTTGACTTCTTCCGCATTATCAAGCACCAAATTCATAAACTCGTCAAAGCCCTAGAAATTTAAATTCATATTAACAGTAATATCTAACATCTTTCGATCTTTGCTAACCATAAAGACAAGCACCATGAACTTACGATTATTTGTCCTTCAATTCTAAGATCTACTTGCTCGAATAACCAGATCTGTACTCGTGTTTTCTGTCAAATAAAAAACACAAGTTGATTAGATAACCACAAATAGATTGCAAAACCATGTATGCCTACGCGTTTGTCAATTCCCTCGTAACTTACATTTTGCAGGTACTTGAAGATCAAGTTCTACAGAAGGAAACGAAAAGAGAAAAAGCTTTAATTGTTTGTCGGATTCACTATAACAATATCATTTCCTAGTAACCATTATACGTACTATGGGCTGTACCATAATCTTCTGTACTTTTGTCGCCATGGTTGCTGTCGTTTTTATTAGATCGACGTGTGGTAAACGAGAGACAAGTACGAAACAAATGGGTTTAAAAGTTGTATGGACACTAATTTTTTGTTATTCGAGCGCAAATTGGGGATTTCAGGGAGCAGGGTCAAATTTATTTAATGTCCACATTCCGGCGGACTTTTTCGGGAAGGCAAATCCAAAACAGGAAATCAAACATTTATTAGCAGCCACTTCTGCCAATTTGAGCATATTGCATAGAGTTTGCTCGTTGTATCAATTAAATTCGACATTCAGTTTCAATTGCATTAAGACATTGGAGGAAAGCAATAGTCGGTGAGAAATAAAACATCGTTTCATTCTTGGGAACATTTAAAACAACTTCTAATACGACATGCCTTCATAGGGTTGACAATATTTGAGCCTACACGATAGAGTTCGATCTTAGAAACAAACTTGAAACCATTTCACCCGTGCGTTGGACAACTGGATACCCGCTCCGAATCATTGGAGAGGGCTACAGCCTTTGTATTATTCAAATCATTGCAATTTGTTGTTTAATTTTTTATGAATCTAAAAAGAAATATTCAGCAGAGCAAATAAATTAACATCAGAAGAAGAAAGAAAAAATTACTATTAAAAATCAATTTCTGCATAAACTCAATCCTTGCTGCGTCTCAAAACGTCAATCTTACTACAAATCTACTCTCTCCAGCACATGACATAATACTATGCTTATGACTTGTTCCAGGGTTTGAAATATATTAGCAACACGATTACTATAACGGCAATAATGAGTATTAAAATTAAAAGGCAAAGCCACTTTTTCTTCCTTGCTGAAAGAGCACTAGCCTGAGCCTTATCCAGTTGCTGTTGAGCATTGTCAATCTTTCCGACAGTACCTTCCACATGTTGCTCAATGTCCATTACGACAGCATCTTGCTGTTCTACAAGAACTTGCATTTCTTCGAATAGTTGCGCTAGCTCGGTTATAGTCGATTCTATTTGCTTGATATCATCGTGACGCTTGCGTACCTCGTTTAGCGCGTCCCGAGCAGCGCCAGTCTGTACCAGGGCTTGCTGAAATATGGGCTGGTTAGATGCATTTGCTACATAGTTGTCTATCTCTGCATGAGTTGCGTTTGGATTAACCACTTTATACTGTCTAGCCATTCGCTCCTTTTGTTGTTTCATGTATCCACCTTCAAGCGTTCTGTATTCATCTAATATTCTCGAAAACTTTTCACTTAAAAATGCATACCGCTGTCGTCGTGGCTGCGAATTAGGATCTGTAGGAGGCCATCGAGCATTCTCGGTAGCGATGTTTTTCAATCTATCACGTACGCCAAGAACGAGTTTTCGGGTTTGAGCAACCAATGCGTCTCTTTGAGCGGACGTTTGGGATTCTTGGTAATTCGATGTGCTGGAGAGAATTGAGGTTTGGAGTGAATTTATGGTTCTGATGTTGTTTTGGATTGTACCCAAGTCTCGCTCAACGTCTTCAAAGAATCCCCCGGAGGAGAAATTTGCCATTTCTAGATTATCCATTAGAAGAAGCTAATATAAACGAGTAGCAGCCGGGCGTTGTCTATCGAAGATTTCAGCTATAGCTAGAGAGTATGTCTTGTGTGTATCTTTCTTCGCAATGTCTGGAATAGTTAAAATTGAACGTTAACTATTGGCTATAATTTCATGCGTTCTATATATCGCTCACAGCTAGAACGTCAATGGTCGCCCGCTAAATGCTTTCTTAGAAGCTCCGTGGTATAGTAAGCACAAATACGATACAACAAAGTACAAATGAGAAAAAAACGGCGCTTTTAACTCCGAACATCCCGTGGGAATAGATAGTAATAGATACCGATAAACCGCTAATTGGACGAACGAAGTCATATGACTAGTACTATGACACATTTTTTTTGATCGACCGATTTAATTTAAACCTACTGGGACATGTCCCTTCGAATGCTTTTTCATAGTAAAGTTGCACAAAATCAATTATTTGTTTTGACTTTGACATGATTTTCTCTTAGATATCAATAAGACAACAGCAATTGTAATAATAA